CCTGACTGCCTGGTCGGTAAAGCGGGGAAAGATTCGGTGCAGGGCGAAGAGGAAGAGGAAGAGGAAGGTAGTGGGGGTGGCAGGCCACACCTGGGTTAGAACCCCAGGCACAGGGGACCACCAGGGCAGGGGCTCAGACCAGGCGCTGGGAGCGCAGACAGGGTGCAGGCGGAGGCTCGCCTTGGCTCTCGCCCAGCTGTGAGCCGTGTCCCCACTCTCAAGACCTGGTGAGGGGTCCTGGGAACTGTAGTGTCAACACCCCAGGCCCCGCAGAGGCCCTTCCCCAGCACTCCCAGCACTGTCTGGGGACCAGGTAGTCTGACGCCATGGGGTGCCAAGGAGACGCCCCAACAACCGCTGGGGAGGAAACGGGGAGCTGGGCTGTTGTTGTAAACAGTCACCCCACCCCAACGGAAACACCTGCGGAGGGAGGGGGCCGCCTCGGATCCCGCTCGGGGTCTCCTCCCACTCCTCACTGGAGGTGAGGTCTGTCCCCACCTAGCCGGGGTGGGGTGGGCGTGCAGGCTGAAATACAGGCGTGCCCCTCTGACCTGTCCCTGCCCCTTCCTGCCCTTTGATGCGGCCCCACTTCCTCAGGCAGGAACCCCGCCCTCCCTGCCTGGTAAAAGGGCCTGGCTGGGTGCTCCGGAGCCGGCGGCTCTAGAGGCAGCAGCAGCTCCTGTCCTGTCCTCGTCCCTGTCTCCCAACCCTCGTACCAGGGCCATGCTCAGACCCTGGTGCAGGGATGGGGGGCAGGGCCGTGGGGACCCAGCACCAGGCCCTGACGGGCGAAGCCTGCACCTCTCCGTTGCCCCAGGGGTTCGAGTCCTGGCTTTTCTCCCTGTGCTGTGCTTCGTGCTTTCGGGAGCCTGTCCAGCGTCCTCCATGTGTGCTGTCCCCACCTCTGCAATGGACGCTTTAGCTTCTACCACCAGCGAGCTAGCCTGATGCTGAGGACAGCTGTGGCCTGCTCCCTGTCACCCACCCACTCCAGGGTAGCTCGCTGGCCACCTTACTGCTGCCCCTGGACCATTCCTCTGCTGTGACCTGTCCCTCTGAGGTGCTCCAGGTGTCACTGGTCCTTCAAACCAACGTCCTTGCCGGCATCAAGGCAGCAGAGCCCTGGACTCAGCTCCTCCCTGGGACACCTGCCCCCCTCCAGGTGAGTCTCTTGCAACAAGCCCCGTGGGCACCTGGGAGTGGGGTGGGGCAGCCTGAGGGGCACAGGCTGTTTCCTGGCCCCCTTCCTCTGCTGCAGGGTAGGAAAGTCCAGGCTGAAGCCCACTCAGGTCAGAACAGACAGCCAAGTGGTCAAGCCCACCTGACCGTCCAAGCTGAGACCCACAGGGGCGGCTGCTGCTTCGTCCTCTCCCCACCTGAAGCCACGAGGGGATTCTCTGCCCTCACTCACTTCCTCCCTAGAGGATTTGGGGTGAGGGAACCTGCAAGGACAGGGAGGCAGTCGCAGTCGGTCCTAGCTATTGAGACGTGAAGAGATGACAAGGAACAGGGTCCCAGAGATGGGCAGGCGGGACTGGGCCCTGTTCTCGTCCTCTCCCCCAGAGCAGGAAGAACCTCATCTGTGTCCACCTGCACAGTCCCCTGACTGCCCCTTCCCAGCAGGGCACAGAGCTTGAGTCCAGCCTTGGGTGGGAAAATAACTTTTATTTCCTGGGGAGCAGGCAGGCGTCCAGGCTCAGAACTTCTGGAACTGCTTCTTAGTGCCGGCGGCCTTGGTGACCTTGAGCACGTTGAAGCGCACGGTCTTACTCAGGGGCCGGCACTCGCCCACCGTGACGATGTCGCCAATCTGGACGTCCCTGCAGGCAAGTGGGCATGTCCTCAGCTGATCCCCAGGAGATCCTCTCCCTGCCACCACCCTCAGCTTCAGCTCCATCAAATCCTATTTGACCTGCCCCAGCTGTTTGCTGAGCAGGGCCCGCCCCACACTGAACCTGCACTGAACCTTCGGGGGTTAGCGCCCACCACGCACCGCACCCACTTCACAAATCAAACTGGAGGCTCCAAAGACAGCCAGCAGCCTCCCAACTCCCTTTCACACCCTGACAGTCAACCTCCCGTGCCCTGCAGCTGGGGGATCATGCTCCACCCATACCAGGTCCCCCACCACTCAGAACCAGCACCCCCTGCCCTCCCCATCCCAGCTAAAAGTGCTCTCTAATCACTCCTGAAAACCTCCAAGGTCTAAGACCAAGCTTAGTGCACTCGAAACGCAATACGAAACACCATCCACAAAGGAGCTGTTTAGTCTGTGTGTGTGGTTTTTTTTTTTGGTGGGGGGAGAGGTTTATTTTTGCTATAGGGCACGTGCACTCGCCAGCCAGAGACGGACAGAGATAAAGTGAGAAATCAGCCCCAGGGGGAATGGCCAGGCTGCAATCCCTTCTCCTTCACTCTCCTCTCAGGATCTTGGGCACACATGCCTGATGTGAGGTTAAGCCACCGGGTCCGGGAGTCGATCCGTGGCCTGCTACATGGGAGCTCAGTGACAGCCATTACGCTAACTGCTGGTCCCAGTGTTTCATTTTGTTTGAAGAGGGATTTTTGGTATAAGGCACTTGTGGTTCATCAGAGAGACTGAATGTGAGAAATCACCCCTGGAGGCTGGCCACTCTGCAATCCCTTCTCCATTCTCTTCTCCGGATTTTGGGCACACACACACATACACCTGACCTGAGTTTCAAGCCACCAGGTCCGGGATATGAATGGCAGTCAACTACATGGGAGTCTAGTGCCTAAACCACTACTCCACGTGCTGGTCCCTAGACTCAATTTGTTTTGTTTTGTTTTTTTTGGGGGGGGGGGCTGTTTGAGAGGTTTTTGCTATAGGGCATGTGTGCTCGACAGACAGAGACAGAGAACAAGAAATCACCCCCCAGGGGGGCTGATCATGCCGCAATCCCTTCTCCTCTCACGATCTTAGGCACGCACGCACATGTGCCTGGTGTGAGTTTTAAGACACCAGGTCTGGGACACGAACCACGGTCGACTACATGGGAGTCCAGCGACACAGCCATTACCCTAACTGCTGGTCCCTAGACTCAATGTTTTTAAGATTCCCATCTGGCATAAAAACTGTTTGATGCCAGATCTTCTGCCTGTTAGAACATTTGATTCTTAAAAAATTATATTAAAAAAACCTGAGAGGAGGTGGCAGATGGCATGGTGGTTAAGGGCACTGGACTCCCCACAAGGCTAACCACCTGGACCTGGCCGCTTGCTTTCTCACTTTCCCCCTCTCTCCTGGTCTCTCTCTGGTCAAATTAAAATAAATAAATAATTCAAAACAAAACAAAACAAACCGAACCCTGAGGGGGCTGGGCTTGGTGTGGAGACCTGGGCGGGGGTGTTCCTGCCTACTTCACAGAGGAGAGAGAAATATACCCCCACCACCAAATCTTCCTGGGACCCAGGGGCTTGCGAGAAATGCCGCCCCAGCTAGCTGCTCCCTCAGTCGGCCCAGGCTATCCAAGAGGCCACCGTGCTCACCTGAAGCAGGGGGACAGGTGCACAGACATGTTCTTGTGGCGCTTCTCGAAGCGATTGTACTTGCGGATGTAGTGGAGGTAGTCCCGGCGGATGACAATGGTTCTCTGCATCTTCATCTTGGTCACCACACCTAGCCCAGGAGCATGTCACAGGTCAGGCCGCATGGGAAAGGGGGCCAAGGGGATCCCAGAGCAATGCTGGGCATCAGAAGCTGCTGGGGGGGGGGTCCCAGGAAGCCCTGCTTCTGGCATCAGCCTTGCCAAGTGGCTTTCTCAGCAGGGCCCTTGGTGGGCATCTGAAGACCATCGTGAGAACAGACATCATGTGCCAACGCCGCAGGGCCCACTCCCCTCCCCTCCCCCGGGGGCCCAAGGCCAGAGCCCCAAGAACGCCCCACTCACCGGACAGGATCCGTCCTCGAATGGACACGTTACCAGTGAAGGGGCATTTCTTGTCGATGTAAGTACCCTCGATGGCCTGAAGGGATAAAGAAAACAGAGGAGTAAGTCCTGGACAGGCAGTTCCAGTAAAGAATGGGGTGCGTGTGGCCTGGGGGAACCAACTACAATTCCCAGCAGCCCCTGGGCAGCCACTCCGACGTGGGCTGGGCAACCTCTGCTTGGGCACAAGTAGGGACACAGGGTCCTGTTGTTCCCTCTAAGGGTCCCAGCACCTCTTTGGGAGTCTTGAAGCCCAGACCGATGTTCTTGTAGTATCTTGGAAGCTTCTCCTTGCCAGTTTCTCCCAGCAGGACCCTCTTCTTGTTTTGGAAGATGGTCGGCTGCTTTTGGTAAGCGCGTTCAGTCTACAGGCAAGAGGAAGCTGGTGAACTTTAGCAGCAACCTGGTCTGCAGACCCAGACCGTCCCAGAACCCCCAGAGGCCAGGCCCCCGGCGCTCTGTAAACAATGCCCCCCAAAAGTGACTGTAACTTAAGACTCAGCTCAAACCTAGGGTAGTTCGGCTCGTAGACCCTAAAACCCCTCTCACTGACTGCAAATTCACCCCTTAGATCACGAGCATTCTGGACACCTTTCAGCAAGATTATTCTCCAAGACACGAAGTCACCCGCCCGGATGCACCTCCTAATCTAAGACCCGCGGGTTCAGAAGTAAATGGCAAACCAGACTCTGCACTCGCCCTTAGGAGTAAACTTCCACAAGATTAACCTTTAAGGCCAAAGACCTGAAAAAAGTCCACTTCTTAATTATTCGGTTTTAAGAGAATAATTCCTAAAACGCTTACATTTCCACTAATGTGCCCCAAGAATTTAGAAAAGCGCTAATCCAGATTAACGCAAACGCACGCGCCTTCCGGGCAAATCAATCCCTAGAAAACCTAGGCGCCCGCAACTAACTCCCAGACCGGGGCGCTGGGTTCCTGCCCTGCCGTACGGGCTCTGGGCCCGGGGAGCCCCCCGCCGCCTCGGCAGCCGCGAGCTCACACCTGAATGTCCGCCATCTTCCCGGCCGCCTGAAAAAAAGGGAGCTGCGCCGGCGTCCGGGTTTCCTTATCGACTGCGCACGGGCTGAAGCGGAAGTGACGAAAAGAGGCGGGACAGTGCTGCCTGGGCGGTGCTTCGGGAGCTATTTTGATTGACAGACGATCCTAACTAGGCAAGGGATTCGGGGACTGAGCCGGGGCGGCCATGATGTGAAGGACTGAGAGGCGGGAAGCCCCAGATATTTTCTCGCGAGAGTCTTGGACCATCATTACGCTGGTCGCGTTAGCAGTGATTACAAAGGCGTGGTTTGTCCGGAGGCTGCTTATGTTATCGCGAGAGTCGAAGGGAGGTCGTCGTAGAGTTTCCCCGACGTAAATTCAGTTGGACCACGCGGTTGTTTTACTCCAGCTTCAAAACGGAAACGCCGGCAGCCGTCCTACAGGGCGGGCAACGGGAAGGTCCGGCCTCCGTGTGCGGCGCCGCCATCGCTGAGCGGCGGGAGCTGCCCAGAAGCGTTCAGCGGCATAATGAAAATTTCTCTCCTCTTATGCCCATTTCATCCCCACACGGCGGTTTAATAATAATAATTTTTTAAAAGCCTTTTTGGGGACAGACAGGCGGTGTGCCGATTAAAGGCGCTGGACTTCTGCGTGATTGACAGCGGTTCGAGGCCCGGAACGGTGGCTTAAAATTCAGGCCGGGGACCAGCAGTTAGCGCAATATCTTATGTCGCTGAATTCCCATGTAGCTGACCGCGGTTCAAGTCCCAGACCCGGTGGCTTAAACAACACCGGGTGTGTGTGCGTGCGTGCCCAAGATCCCGAAAGGAGAGTGGAGAAGGGATTGTGGGGTGATTTCTCGCTTTCTGTCTCTGTCTGTCTTCCCTGAGAGCGCACGCACCCTATAGCAAAAAACCTCGCCAAAAAAAACTCAGGCCATGAGCATGTGCGTGCTTGTCCAATATCCCAGGAGGGGTACGGACTAGGGATTGAGTGTGACCACAGCTCCGGGGGCTGATTTCTCACTTTCTCTGTGTCTCTGACAAGCAGCCCCTATGGCAAAACCTTAAAAAAAAAAAAACAAAAAAACTATTTTTATCTCTGTGTATAACCGTGCAAATAGAATTTTGCAGCGGGAAAATGAAACTGCAGTCGGATGTAGTAGCCATTGGTATGCGAGATACAGTTTTGTCACACACGGGGCACAGTGGATGCTCTGGTGGGAGAGACAGAGATAGTGAGAAGCCACCTCCCATTGAGGATGGCCACACTGCAATCCCATTCCCGACTTCTGGCTTGTATGCACTCACAATTGGTGTGTTTTTCCAGCCACCAGGTTTGAGACTGGGTCTGCTGAGTTTGCCATGTGTGATCCAGTGTTTTTAGCCACCACCCACCTACTGAAACAAGTACCTGAATATTAGACTGTATTTAATTCTACTATACTTACATTTATTTATTTAATATTTAACTTTCTTATTTTTAATTTGATGAGCCATAGTTGGCCATGTGCGAGTCCAGCACCTGCTGGCCCATAAATAGCTGGGGCCCAGCAGGTGGTATGGTGGTTGAGGTGCCAGACTCTCACATGGTCTACTGCAGTTCAAGTCCTGGACCTAGTGGCTTCCTTTCTCACTTTCCCCCTCTCTGGTGACTGTATGTGCCCTATCTATTGCTGAGATAAAAAAGGCTGTGCCTGTTCAGTGCAGACAATTTTTTTTTCCAATCTTTTTTTTTTGGGGGGAGAGGTTTTTTGCTATAGGGCGTGTGCGCTCACCAGACAGAAATAGACAGAAAATGAGAAATCACCCCCCGCCCGGGGGGATGGCCATGCCACAATCCCTTCTCCTCCATTCTCTCAGGATCTTAGGCATGCATGCACACGCTTTAAGCCACTGGGTCTGGGATGTGAACCATGTCGACTACATGGGAGTCCAGCGACACAGCCTTTACACCAACTGCTGGTCCTTATTTATTAATTTTATTTTAATCTGACCAAAGAGAGACACAGAAAGAGGGAAAGGGACAAAGCAAGCCACCAGGTCCGTGGCCCGCCATGTGGGAGTGACCAGTGCCTTAACCACCAAGCCATCTCCTGGTCCCCTAATAATTTCTTGTTTTTAAGAGGTTTTTGCTATAGGGCACGTGTGCTCACCAGAAAGACAGAGACAGAGAGAAAGTGAGAAATCACCCCCCAGGGGGGATGGTCACGCCGCAATCCCTTCTCCATTCTCCTCTCGGAATCTTGGGCACACATGCACACGCGCCTGGCGTGAGTTTAAGCCGCCGAGTCCCAGACTTGACCCGCGGTCGACTACGTGGGAGTCCAGCGACATAGCCATTACGCTAACTGCTGGTCCCGTTCCCCTAATAATTTCTATTAGAAAAAATTAAATAGCCACTTGTGGCTACTTTGGTGAACAGTGCAGTACTATAACTGAGTAATAATTTGCTATTTTGTAAACTTTGTTTGTGTGGGATAAAGTGTGTGCTTGCTGGAGAGTGACAGACAGAAGAGAGCCCGCCGTGGCACGGTCACGCCGTAACCTCCATTTCTCCGTGCCGTCAGGACTTGGGGGCAAGCGTGCACATGCACGTGGTATGTTTCTCTGAGTACCTGACCCAGCGCTTGGGGTCCACTTGCCGTAACCACCAGACCTCAGAGCTGGCCCTAGTAAATTAAAAAATATATATATATTTATTTATTTAAGTTTGTTATAGGGCATGTGTGCTTACCAAAAAGAGACAGAGAAAATGAAAAAGGAAACCACCAAATTTGGGACTCAAACTGTGGTTGACCCTGTGGGAGCCCAGCACCTTCACCACCACACACCACTGGCCTATTTTATAAACTCTTATAAATATATATATTGAGAATGGCAGGTGGTGTGGTGGTTAAGGGTGCTGGACTCCCACATGGCTGACTGTGATTTGAGTCCTGGACCTGGTGGCTTTCTCACTTTCTCTTTTAGGGGCTGGCAGGCGGCATGGCGGTTGAGGTGCTGGACTCCTCAACCACTCATGTGGCAGACTGCAGTTTGAGTCCTGGATCAGTCAGCTTGCTTTCTCACTCTCCCTCTTTCTTGCTGTCTCTCTGTCATCAAATTGAAGAATATTAATAATTAATAAAATTAAATAAATAATTTTTAAAAAATGAATTTTCTATTTAACTTTATTCATCATTATTGTTACTATTTTTTAATTTGACCAGAGACAGCAGTAAGGTGAGAAAGCAATCCACCAGGTCCGGGACTTGAACTGCAGTTGGTCATGTGGGAATCCACCGCCCTTAACCATCATGTCACCTGCTGGCCCTTGTAAATTCTTAAATCTTTCTTTTTTTTTTGTTTTTGGAGAGGTTTTTGCTATATCGCACATGCGCTCACCAGAAAGACAGACAGAAAGCAAGACATCACCCCCCAGGGGGATGGCCACACCACAATCCCTTTTCCTCCATTCTCCTCTTGGGATCTTGGGCACGTACGCACATGCGCCTAATGTGAGTTTAAGCCACCAGGTCCAGGACTTGAATGCAGCTGACTACATGGGAGTCCAGCGACATAGCCATTATGCCAACTGCTGGTCCCATCCCCCCCCCAAATCTTAATCACCTACTTAAAAGAAGAAGTCTTGAGAGAACGGGACATCCAGCTTCTGAGTGGAAACTCTCTATTCCCAAGTGACAAAAGAGAGAATTAAAAATGAGTGACGTTAAGAAAGGCAAGAATTTTGTTCACAAGCGTGCCCAGTGCCACACTATGGAAAAGGGAGGCAAGCACAAGACTGGCCCAAATCTTCATGGTCTACTTGGGGGGAAGGCAGGTCAGGCCCCTGCATTCTTTCCACAGATGCCAGCAAGAACAAAGGCCTCACCTGGGGAGGGGATGGGCTGATGGAGTATTTGGAGAATCCCAAGAAGTACATCCCTGGAACAAAAATAATTTTGGCTGGCATTAAAAAGAAGTCCGAAAGGGTCCAGCAGTTAGCGTAACGGCTATGTCGCTGGACTCCCATGTAGCCGACAGTGGTTTGAGTCCTGGACCTGGTGGCTTAAACTCACGCCGGGCGCGTGTGCGTGCGTGCCCAAAATCCGGAGAGGAGAATGGAGGAGAAGAGATTGCGACGTGGCCATCGCCCCTTGGGGGTGATTTCTCGCTTTCTGTTTCTATGTCTCTGGCGAGCGCACGCGCCCTGTAACTAAAAACCTCTCAAGAAAAAAAAACAAACAAGAAGTCTGAAAGAGCAGAGTTGATAGCTTATCTTTAAAAAGCTCCTACTGAGTCATAGGTGGCCACTGCCTTATTTATGACAAAACAGACATGTCTCGCCTTTTTTATGTGTACCGTATTTTACTCGTTCTCCTACACCAGAACAGAGATCATGAATGGCTGACAGGGTATTTGTGTTGGATCGCCCTGATTTAACCACCGACTTGTGGTTATATGAATATTGTTGGGTTTTTAAAATTTTGATAGTGGACCAGTAGGTGGTGGTGTGGTGGTTAAGGCGCTGGACACTCCCACATGGTTGACCATGGTTTGAGTCCTGGACCTGGTGGCTTGCTTTCTCACTTTCCCTCGCCCTCTCTCCCTCTCCCTTTCTCTCTGTATGTCTCTCTGGTCAAATTAAAAAATAAATGAGGGATCAGCAGTTAGCGTAATGGCTTTTTCACTGGACTCCCACGTAGTTGACCGTGGTTCATGTCCCTGACCTGATGGCTTAAACTCACACCAGGTGCGTGTGCGTGTGTGCCATTGTGGCGTGGCCATCCCCCCTGGGGGGTGATTTCTCACTTTCTGTCTCTGTTTCTCTCTGTCTTTCTGGCGAACTCATGCACTCTATAGCAAAAACCTCTCTAAAAAATAAATAAATAAATAAGTGAGGGACCAGCAGTTAGCATAACGGCTATGTTGCTGAACTCCATGTAGTTGACCGTGGTTCAAGACCTGGACTCGGTGGCTTAAACTCACGCTGGGTGCGTGTGCGTGCGTGCCCAAGATCCAGAGAGGAGAATGGAGGAGAAGGGAATTGTGGCGTGGTCATCCCCCCTGGGGGATGATTTCTCATTTTCTGTCTCTCTGTTCTGGTGAGCGCACACACCCTATAGCAAAAAAAAAAAAAAAAACCAAACAAACAAACAAAAAAACCTCTATAAAA